CATTCTTACGTTATTGATATGATCGTATTGCCTGAACGGTCCAAGTATAATATTTTTGTAGAACTGAAAAGTAAAAATACATTTTAATCGTACTAAGTCAATTTTGTAAAATATGTCGACCAGAAAGCTGTTGCTATGGCAAGATGAAAAATTATGAACTCTATTATAATTTTGAAATAGTTGCCAAGCAAATAGGAAACTTTTGTGGCTCTAGCATAAACCGCTGATACGTTAAGTTTGGTCTGGTCTGATATCTCTTCCCGTATGAATACGATCAAATACAGGTTTTATGACAAACATGTGGGCTGGAGACAACTATCCTGCAATCAACAGTGCAAACTTCCCCCGCTGAAATACTAGTAATAGAAGGTATTTTGTCCGGCAAGTTTGCACTGTTCTAAGGTTACGACTTATGGACGAATTGGACTGAATTACACATATAACACTGTCTTACTATGAGAAGCTGTATAAGGCAGACATGGACTATCTTTAGCTGAGGAAACTTCTTGTCCTTCTGTGTTTTCTCCAGCTGCTTTTGTTTTGTTCATTCTAGACCTGTTACATGTTGCCTGTACATCATGTGTACGTGTTATCAAACCTGTTACACTCTCTAATTATACAAACCATCTGATCTCTTAGATTAGCTGACAGCTGATTTGCCTTAAGCAAGCAAATGTTAAGTTCAATGTGTAAAAAAATAGTGAATTGAAATGTTTCCGTTCCGATGTCTGAAGTCAAATTTTAGCGCACAGACACAATAGTTATACTAGTTATAACCACACCAAGTAAATTTTATGGATGACTTCCGCGCGCGCATTGATTTTGGCCTGTTCCTAGAAAAAAAGCAATTCCGCTTCCTGTAACTATGACCAAAGAGTCACGACAGTGCCGCAAATAGGTCTGTACGGACCAAAGCTTATGAAGATCAAGCAAGGAAATCATGACTTCCATTAGGAATTCAGTTTGGTACATGCTGCCACATTTAAAGAAACTTGCTGACCGCTCCATCTAACTCCCCAAAGCACAAGACGACAACTGCTGTTCCACCTGATTTATTGCTGTTTTGATGATGAATAAAAGACTTCTTGCTTGTTACACCTCACCTCATTCAATTTGTGTTCTAACATTTGCCGTCTCTTAGTATATTTCTAATCTAGGCATCTTGTTTTTTAGGGCCCTTCTTGGTTTTTTTTTCGCCCTTCGCATTAAATTTACTTGGTGTGGCCTAAGCCTAACCTAACAGGTCAAAGTATTTTCTAATTACAGTATATATTTTACACCTATTCATCATGTAAACTGATAAATATGTACACAATAAATTCTAATCTATTTGAAGTCATATTTGCCATATCGTCAACGATTCTCACTAAAAACGAAGACGACGTTTTAAAAGTATAATAACATAAAAGGTAAAACGGTAATTTCATGATTATGTGGGTGATAAAATGCAGAATTGAAAAAATGCAGAATTGAAAGGGCGTACCCACCATAGCCTTCAGATTTTTCCCATACACATGAACATGAACAGTGCTGTTCACCGGAGGTTGGTCGGGCCGGGTCCTGTACCTCAGTCAGATCGCCCCAAACTACCGTCTACATCGTCCGAGTTCAGACCATTTATTCTGCCTACCTTAAATGGACTAGCCTTGTAGGGCTATGGAACGTACATGTTGAACTTCAACAGATATTAGTTACTGTGTTTGGTTTTTATGATCACCATTGCTAAACCCAAATATTTGCTCGAAAACCAATGCCTTAAGTCACTTTACAACCCATGACTCGTGTTCTTAAGACTATTGTAATGCGTTCGTTTTATTAAGTGAGCAGATTGTGATGCGTGAAGCCGTGAATCTGTTGACAGGAATCGAGTTTCCTGACCGTGAAGGTGTATTACCGTTTAAGTCTGCTGATCAGTACATTTTTCATTGCAAGATTTGGAAGTTGAATGTGAAAAATGCTGCCTTGGCAGACAGCCGCTGGTGTTCGGCACAAGTACGGAAGGATCTATTCCTGGCGAGCAAAACTGGATAATGAACATTCTGCCCTTGACATGCATCACACTAGCTATAGTCTAGAGTGGTTCAAGCTGATGTGGAGAGGACTTTTTAGCTTTTTAGATCCAAACTGTACAAGAGAACGTTGAAGCCATATCGGTAACATCCATGCCTTGCATGCAGGTGTTGATATTTTAATCCCATGAAATATACACCAATCTTTGAACTTGAAAACGTATGATATCTAAATTCATGAAATTAATATTCTTCTCCTTCTAAACTTCTCACAAAATGGAATCACGAACTTTCGTCGCTAGCAATGTACATCAAGTACTCATTTGCATGATTTTTAATGAGGTCAATCCGAGTTGCCTATATGTCAATTATAATGTCCATTCACGTGTTTTTTCAGTTATCCTCTCCTGAAGTCTCCAACCAAAATGCCGATGCATTTTTACCTTCTAAGAAGGTTATGTTTTCAGGGGCGTTCGTGTGTCTGTCTGTCTGTGTGTGTGTGTGTGTGTGTGTGTGTGTGTTTGTTTGTGTGTGTGTGAACGCCTTGATGGGTTGTCTTGATTTTTGGTAGGTTGGTAGGTCTTGATAAGACTTTAGATTTTTGGGCCACCT